ACACAATTAATGGATTTTTTTATGTAGTGCTTTGAAAAGTGCAAGTGCTAGTTTATTTGGGTGGTTTTAATGTGAATCAGCATTTTAAAATGCTTTTTAAATTTTGTATTTTTAATTGCTACACGGAATGAACTGCAGCTCTCATATTTGGGTATGATTGCCAAAAAATCAACATTAACACTATTACGTGGAGTAGTTGTATGTTGTATCAGCATTTTTTAAATGCTTCAAATAGCATTTTAATGTGATACATTTTTAAAAAACTTATTAGTTGTTTAAATCTGCTCATTTACATGTTTAAAAAAATAATCAGAATTTTTAAATGCTTCAAAACAGCATTTTAATAACTTAATTAATCTAATTTAAATGGATTAGCATTTAAGATGCTTGAATATAGCATTTTTAAATGCTTTTGTATAGCATTTTTAATGCCTAATTTTATTATTACTATTATAGGTCGAAAAGTACCTAGTATGGTCTACCATCATACACATATGAATGCTTAGTTGCCCTTTATTTTTAAATTCTTTCATCAGTAGTGTTGAAATTAGTGTTAGTGTAATTGAATCAGCATTTTAAAATGCTTCTGTATAACATTTTAATGCTTAATTTTATGTTATTTTTAATTTTTGATCATAATAACGTTTAAATAGTTCAAGTGCTAGTTTAATTGCTTGTTACCATTGCAAATCAGCATATTTAAATGCTTCAATAGCATTGCTTGATGGAGCGCCATTTTTAAATAGTCTTATTATTATTAATGTGACCATGCATAATATAATATAATACCTAATATTTAAAATTGAAAGAAATTGACGTTAACCATCAGACATATATCAAATTTTATTTTTGAAAACCATTTCATTATCTACTAACTGGAGTAGATAAAGTAAAGCATTACCCTCGAGATTATGTACATTATTCACTCGGATGATTTACCTTATAATAGCCTGCATTATCTCTCGTATAATAATAGGTATCCTATTATTAGTGGTGTTTAAATTAGTTTCAGTGTTTACAGTTAAAAGTTCATTTAGTAGGTTTACCTACAATTTGAAGTCAGCGTTGTAAGTCCTAATTTTATTTATTTCTTATGTCTATATCTTGTTTTGAATACTTTAAGTACTAATTTATATGGGTGTTACCATATTAAATCAGCATTTATAAATGCATTAACATATCATTGTAATGCGCAAGGTTTTAATATTAGTGTTTAAATCAGTAAAGTGTAATTTACCATTGCGAATCAGCGTTTTCAAATACTTATTTCACACAATTAATGGATTTTTTTATGTAGTGCTTTGAAAAGTGCAAGTGCTAGTTTATTTGGGTGGTTTTAATGTGAATCAGCATTTTAAAATGCTTTTTAAATTTTGTATTTTTAATTGCTACACGGAATGAACTGCAGCTCTCATATTTGGGTATGATTGCCAAAAAATCAACATTAACACTATTACGTGGAGTAGTTGTATGTTGTATCAGCATTTTTTAAATGCTTCAAATAGCATTTTAATGTGATACATTTTTAAAAAACTTATTAGTTGTTTAAATCTGCTCATTTACATGTTTAAAAAAATAATCAGAATTTTTAAATGCTTCAAAACAGCATTTTAATAACTTAATTAATCTAGTTTAAATGGATTAGCATTTAAGATGCTTGAATATAGCATTTTTAAATGCTTTTGTATAGCATTTTTAATGCCTAATTTTATTATTACTATTATAGGTCGAAAAGTACCTAGTATGGTCTACCATCATACACATATGAATGCTTAGTTGCCCTTTATTTTTAAATTCTTTCATCAGTAGTGTTGAAATTAGTGTTAGTGTAATTGAATCAGCATTTTAAAATGCTTCTGTATAACATTTTAATGCTTAATTTTATGTTATTTTTAATTTTTGATCATAATAACGTTTAAATAGTTCAAGTGCTAGTTTAATTGCTTGTTACCATTGCAAATCAGCATATTTAAATGCTTCAATAGCATTGCTTGATGGAGCGCCATTTTTAAATAGTCTTATTATTATTAATGTGACCATGCATAATATAATATAATACCTAATATTTAAAATTGAAAGAAATTGACGTTAACCATCAGACATATATCAAATTTTATTTTTGAAAACCATTTCATTATCTACTAACTGGAGTAGATAAAGTAAAGCATTACCCTCGAGATTATGTACATTATTCACTCGGATGATTTACCTTATAATAGCCTGCATTATCTCTCGTATAATAATAGGTATCCTATTATTAGTCGTGTTTAAATTAGTTTCAGTGTTTACAGTTAAAAGTTCATTTAGTAGGTTTACCTACAATTTGAAGTCAGCGTTGTAAGTCCTAATTTTATTTATTTCTTATGTCTATATCTTATTTTGAATACTTTAAGTACTAATTTATATGGGTGTTACCATATTAAATCAGCATTTATAAATGCATTAACATATCATTGTAATGCGCAAGGTTTTAATATTAGTGTTTAAATCAGTAAAGTGTAATTTACCATTGCGAATCAGCGTTTTCAAATACTTATTTTACGCAATTAATGGATTTTTTTTATTATGTAGTGTTTTGAAAAGTGCAAGTGCTAGTTTATTTGGGTGGTTTTAATGTAAATCAGCATTTTTAAATGCTTTTTAAATTTTGTATTTTTAATTGCTACACGGAGTGAACTGCAGCTCTCATATTTGGGTATGATTGCCGAAAAATCAACATTAACACTACTCGTATACCAAAGCAAATCATTATTTTTAATTGCTTCAAAATAGCATTTTAATGTTAAACAGCGATACATTTTTAAACGACTTATTATTGGTTGTTTAAATCTGCTCATGTACATGTTTAAAAAAATAATCAGAATTTTAAATGCTTCAAAACAGCATTTTAATCCATTTTAGATGCTTGAATATAGCACGTCTTACCGTATAATCGTTAAATGTTTGTATAAGCATTTTACAATGTTGCCAAAAAATCTAAGATTCTTTTTATCTGTCATAAAAACTAAATTTTAAAAAATAATAAGAACATTTCCGTAATTGTTAAATAAACAACCTCATTTTCTCATAGTAGACAAATCATAAACAACCATTGAAAAAGGCGTGAGAGTAAATAAACTAAATGAAGCAAGAAGACAAAATTCATCATAAAAAAGTGTTGTGTTTGAATAAGTAACACTGTATATGCATTTAGGGTCACAGCCATAAATCAAACCCAAAGACGATAATAAGAACTCAATAGCCAATAACGTAAATAAACCATCTGTAAAGCATACGTTACACGCCTGACTAAGTCCGTACTTCAAAAATTAATACGATACACCACAGGGCCGGCTGTATTTATTTCGTGAATTAATTTATTTTTAGGCTAGATTTGGAATAAAGTAAGAATGCAAAGTTACAAAATAAATAATAATAAACGGTATAATCACTAATTTAACAACAAAATAAATAGTTCACCAACAAGGACAGCGTACTAACACCGGCTCAAATGGAAGAACAGAACAGAAGAAAAGAAGAACGATCCTATCAATAGTCAATGCAGACCATTTGGTGGCATTCCACCACATACACTACATGGCCGGTTTTATCTATTTTGTATATTAATATTTATATTTTTAAATTAAATTTGGAAAAAAAAGTAAGAATGCAAAAACATAAATTAAACGAAAATGGTATAAACACTAATTTAGCAGTAAAATAAATAAAGAATATACAAGGTTGGTAGCCGGAGTAAGCAAAAAAACTAACATACCCACCCCCATTCAGGAATACCAAATGAATGGGGTTATTACTAAAGCCCTGGTTTAGGAGGATTCCGGATTGTACTTAGTTTTGGGTCAGTTCAATGTCCTCCAAAAACCCTTCCTAAACTGGACGTATGGCCCGACCCGGCTGACAAAAATCCCGGGAGCGGCCTTAACCTTTGACACTGTCATCCACGAACTCCTAGATCCCCCACCAGCCGGCGTAAAAACTTCGGATCCAACAAACACAGGTAATGCTGTGATTTGGCGGGATACGCAGGAGAACGGAAAGGGGGTAATATAACCCCGGGAGATCAGTGGATGACAATATATCTGGGGCCTGCCATACGTTCCCATACTCATACTCATACTCATACTTTAGATGCTTGAATATAGCATTTTTAAATGCTTTTGTATAGCATTTTTAATGCCTAATTTTACTATTTTCTTTTTTTAAGTATAAGTAGTGCCAATTTATTTAAGTCAGCTTTTTTTAAGAAAAAATAAAGTATGCTATAATTATAATTACTTACTAGATATTCGTTAAGAGACGGTTTAAATTTTAGATATAGATTATTCTACTTTATTATTATTACTATTATGGTTCGAGGAGTACCTAGTATAGTCTACCATTATACACATATTAATGCTTAGTTGCGCTTCATTTTTAAATGCTTTTATCAGTTGTGTTGAAATTAGTGCCAGTTTATTTGTTTCCGCATTTTAAAATGCTTCTGTATAACATTTTAATGCCTAATTTTATGCTTTAATGCTTAATTTTATGCAGTGCAAGTGCTAGTTTAATTAGGTGTTACCTTTGCAAATTAGCATTTTTAAATGCTTCAATAGCATTGCTTACTAGCGCGCCATTTTCGAAAGGCCTTATTATTAATGTTTTTAAACTGGTTTAGGTGAAATGATTATTACTCCATTCAATAATCGTACAATTACTATTTATAAACGAAAGGTAAATATACAGGGTTGTTCATTAATATTGCAAAGAAATTCAGGATGAGATTTCTTGTCAAAAAATAATAAAAAAACCCAATTAAATATTTTCAACAACTTTTCGTTTCAGGGATAGACACTTTCTGATTTTTCCCAATATCTGAAAAACTCTTATTCAGATTGTTTTAAAACTTGTTTGTTAAAAGAAATAATTGTCTCCTTACGTGATTTGCTAACTTGCCTTCAAGTTATAGTTTTTATTAATTTCGATATTTAATTAAATTAAACTGACAAACAATTTTGTTTCAGTAAAACATCAACCATATGTGGATACAGCGAATGTTTTTTCTCAGCACCAGAATACGAAGTAACCCAACACATGATCACAGACCATGGACATAAGCCAACCAATAAAAATAAAAAATTCTATTGTTTGTACTGTGACTATAATACATCCTATAAACATTTATTGCAAAGGCATACATATGTGAAACATAAAGAACAAAATGAGTTTGCGATAAGCATGAAAACTTACTGTTGTATTTACTGTGACTTTACAACCATGGAAAATCGTAATTTACAGAACCACATATTTAGCAAGCATAAAAAACAAAATGATGTAGAAAATGGAGTAAAACTAAAATTAAAAACGTACTCTTGTGTGTACTGTGACTTCACAACAAAGTCGAACCGTAATTTTCAGAAACACATCTATTTAAAACATAAAAAACAAAATGAGTTAGAAAATAAAGTAGAAATAAAAATACAAACCTACTCTTGCGTGTACTGTGACTTTACAACAATTGAAAACCTGAAGCTACAAAACCACGTCTTTAGCAAACATAAAGAACAAAATCAGTTGGAAAATAAAGTGACAGTAAAAAGAAAAACTTGCGTGTACTGTGACTTCACAACAAATAGAAATCGTAATTTACAAAACCACGTCTATAGCAAACATAGAGAACAAAATGATTTAGAAAATAAAGTAGCATTAAACATACAAACGTTTTCTTGTGTGTACTGTGACTTTAAAACGCTTACTGAGCAATTGTTGAATATCCACATCTTCAGCAAGCATAGAGAACAAAACAAGTTGGAAAATAAAATTGAAATTAAAATAAAACCGTACTCGTGTGTTTACTGTGACTATTCTACATATCGTAATCAATCATTGCAGAAGCACTTATTTAGAAAACACAAAAAACAAAATGAATTGGAAAACAAAGTAGCAATAGTAATAAAAATTCACTCCTGCGATTACTGTGAATTCAATACCGTGGAAAAAACACGTTTCAAAGCCCACCAAGCTTTATGTAAAAATACAAAATAGATGATAGATAGACTCAAAGAACAAAAACGTCCACAATGACTGGTCTTTAAATTATCAAGAACGCGATATTCAAGTTGTGACACTTCTATATGACTATAATACATCTTATTATTATCAAAACGTCAAAGATTATTGTTTCTAATTTTGTATAGTTATTATATTAGTGGAACTTATCTTAATAGGTTGTGATCAAAGAAATGTTAATTTATTATATCAAACTTTTTAACAATAAATAAAATGATAAATATATTTATTTTTATTAAAAATTATGTAGTAAACATTTTGGTTCTAATTTAACCCTTTTTAATATAGTTTTTGTATTGTTTCAGTAAAGACTATGAAGTTATCCAACACATGATAAAAGATCATAATAATCATCATATGAAAAGTCGCATAAAGAAACATAAAGAACAACCGGAGTTGAAGAATAAAGCAAAAAAAGTATTTTCTTGTGTTTATTGTGACTATACAACATCTTCACAGGATACTTTAAAAAGCCACATATGTAAAACACATACAGAACAAAATGTCTTAGAAAATAAAGTAGAAATTCAAAAATATCCTTGTGTGTACTGTGACTTCATAACAGTGAGAAAAGGAAATCTACAAAAACACATTTATAGCAAACATAAAGAGAAATATAAGTTGGAAAATAAAGAAGCAGTAAAAGTAAAAACTTACTCTTGCGTGTACTGTGACTATACAACGTTATTAAACCGATTGTTACAAAACCACCTGTACAGGAAACATAAAGAACAAAATGATTTGGAAAATAAAGTAGATATAAAAGTAAAAACTTACTCTTGTGTGTACTGTGACTTCACAACAAATGGTAATGAACATTTACAAAACCACATCTATAACAAACATAAAACACAAAATGAGTTAGAAAAGAAAGTAGCGTTGAAAATAAAAACTTACTCTTGCGTGTACTGTGACTATACAACTGTAAAAAACGATCATTTACAAAGGCACGTTTGTAACAAACATAAAGAACAAAATGACTTGGAAAAGAGAGTTTCGATAAATGTTAAAACTTTCTCTTGTATTTATTGTAAATTCACTACAACCGTTAACCAAAGATTAAAAAATCACATCAGACGACATAAATTTCAGAATGAGTTAAAAAATAATTTGGAAAAAAAAATAAAAGCTTACTCTTGCGTTAACATTGGAGAACAGAATGTTTCAAAAACTAATTAAAACAAGTGTTTACAAATAAAAAATATTTTTGTTTGTACTGTGACTTGATCAGCTGTATACATGTAGCTGTGGATGTAAAAATATTTTATCAAAATTCAAACGTCTCCATCATTTTTATAAAATAAATTTTATATTTTAGTTTTTTTTATTTTAAATAAAATAATGCAATCTTGTAAACACATCTATATTGTTATGTTTGTTAAATCTTAGGACGTAAGTTAATTATATATTTTTGTAATATTATGTGGTCATGGTCTAAATAAATTGTTAAAAAAATTAATAACAATGTCTTTTTGCTAGCAAGTTATGAAATTTTTTACATTTCATTAAAATGATAAGTATCAACTTTTAGGCAGTGTTAAACGTATTATTTTAGCCATGTAGCCAAAACTAATATAAACAATATTTATAATAATAACAATACATTTATTTAAGATTAGTTTATAAATAGTTAGTCATTATTATTGCTGCTGCTACTTAATAAAAAATAACCACACTGGGTTGTATTTTTAATACAAATTATATATTAGAAAATATAGTCTTTTTATTTGGTAATATTTAACCCTATTTAATTATATAATAAATAATATAATTTTTCTTTAGTTTCAGTAAACCATTAACCAAATGTGGATACAGCGAATGTTCTTTCTCTGGACAAGAACACGTGGTAACCCAACACATAATAAAAAATCATCCAAAAATAAATGAGTTGGATAAAAAGATATCAATAAAAAAATACCCTTGTGTGTACTGTGACTATGCATCAACTGCACGTCATACTTTACAAAACCACATATATAAAAAACACAAAGAACAAAATAAGTTAGAAAATAAAGTTGCCCTAAAAACATATTCTTGTGTGTACTGTGACTTTATAACGGTAAAATCACAGTATTATTTACAAATCCACGTTTATAATAATCACAAAAAACAAAATGACTTGGAAAATAAAGTATATATACAAATAAAAACTTTCTCTTGTACATATTGTGAATATACTACGGCCGTGAAGAAATCATTACAAAGTCACATTCATAGGAATCATAAAGAACAAAATGAGGTAAAATTAAAAATAAAAACTTACTGTTGTATATCCTGTGACTTTAAAACTGTAGATAACCGAAGGTGGCAAAGCCACATCTATTTGGAACATAAGAAAAATAAAGTAAAAAAACAAACCTATTTTTGTGTGTACTGTGACTTTACAACAGTAGAAAAGGATTTATTTCAAGACCACATTTTTAGCAAACATACAGAACAAAAAAATAAAGTAACTATAAAGACTTACTCTTGTAAGTACTGTGACTTTGCAGCAGTTGCTAATCTAATATTGCAAAACCACATTAACAGGAAACATAAAGATCAAAAGTTGGAAAATAAAGTAGCAACAAAAACAAACTCTCATGTGTACTGTGACTTCAAAAAACTGGAAAATCAGGAACAAAAAAGATAAATACTTTTTCTTGTGTACTGTGGATACACCACATATAATCATGTACTGCAAAGGCACGTCTTTGGGAAACATAGAGAACAAAATGAGTTGAAACAGAAAGTACTCAAACAAATAAAAGCTAATGTAATGTAAACTGAACTCGTGTAAAACAATTTCTTTTCTTATCCATAAACGTGTTGTTTCCCATTATTAACAAAATATAAAATATAAAATGTGAATACACTATTGTGTGACAATAAATAAACAAATAAATATACATTTCGTTTTATTTTTGTTACAAATAACATATAATTTTTTTAATTTTAAATATATTTAAACCTGTAATAATAATAATAATAATATAAACTTATTTTGTTTTAGTGACACAACTATATGCAGATACGATAAATGTCTTTTCTCAGGACCAGAACACGAAGTAACCCAACACATAATCAAAGAACATAAACGTAAATCGACAATTTACTCTTGTGTGTGCTGTGACTTTACCACATATTATAAACAGTCATTGCAAACCCATATATTTTCAAAACATAAAGCCCAAAAAGAATTAAAAAACAAAATGGTAATAAATTTAAAAACCTTTTCTTGTGTGTACTGTGACTATACTACAACGAAAAACTTGTGTTTACAAAACCACATATATAAAAAACATAAAGAACAAAATGAGTTAGAAAAAAATATTGAAATAAAAAGTCACTCATGCGTGTACTGTGACTTTACAACAGTGATAAAACGAAATCTACAAAGCCACATTTATCACAAACACAAAGAACAAAATGAGTTGGAAAAAAAAGTCGATATAAAAGTAAAAACTTACTCTTGTGTGTACTGTGACTTTACAACAGTACGCAGCTTGTGTTTACAAGTGCATATTTTTAGCAAACACAAAAAACAAAATGAGTTAGAAAATAAAGTATCAATAAAAGCAAAAATTCATTCTTGTGTGTATTGTGACTTTACAACATTGGAAAAACACAGGTTGCAAACCCACATTTATATTAACCACAAAGAACAATATGAGTTGGAAAATAAAGTGAAAATAAAACCAAAATTTTATTATTGTATGTACTGTGACTACAAAACAAATCATAATAATCAAATGTTACAATACCATATCCATAAAAAACACAAAGAACAAAATAAGTTGGAAAATAAAGTGTCATTGAAAACTCACTCTTGTGTGTACTGTGACTTTTCAACATTTACAGGCGATAATTTAAAAAGCCACATATATAAAACACATAAAGAACAAAATGACTTAGAAAATAAAGTAGCAATTCAAACGTATCCTTGTGTGTACTGTGACTTCATAACAGTGATAAAACGAAATCTACAAAAACACATTTATAGCAAACATAAAGAGAGGTATAAGTTGGAAAATAAAGAAGCAGTAGAAGTAAAAACTTACTCTTGCGTGTACTGTGACTACACAGCGGTTTCAAACCAAATGTTACATAACCATTTATATAGGAAACATAAAGAACAAAATGACTTAGAAAAGAGAGTTTCAATAAATATAAAAACTTTCTCTTGTATTTATTGTGATTTTATTACAACCGTTAACGGAAGATTAAAAAATCACATCAGAAAACATAAATTTCAGAATGAGTAAAAAAATAATTTTGAAAAAAAGCTTACTCTTGCGTTAATGTTGAAGAACAGAATGTTTTAAAAACTACTTAAAACAAAAAACAAAATTAGTTACAAATAAAAAATAGTTTTGTGTGTACTGTGACTTTACTAGCTGTAGATGTAAAAAGATTACAAGGCATATTTTATAAAAATTCAAACGCCTCTATTATCATAAAACAATTAACTTTTTGTAAAATTATAAAGAATGTAATGAATATTGGCAATTTTTTTTTATTTGTATTAAATTACGATTAAATATTAAAATGTCAAAGATTTTTAGGGCAATAAAAAATAGATATTGAAATTTTTTTTCCAAAGGTTGCAAAAATATTAATCATTTTTATATAATAAATTTTATATTTGAGTGTTTTTTTCTATTTTAAATAAAATAATGCAATCTTGTAAACACAAGCTTATTGTTATGTTTTGTGAATCTTATGACATGAGTTAATTATATATGTTTGTAATTTTATATGGTCATGGCATAAATAAATTGTTAAAAAATTTAATAACAATGTCTTTTGCTAGAAAGTTATGACATTTTGCCATTTTATTAAAATGAAGAAGTATTAATTTTTAGGCAGTGTTAAACGTATTATTTTAGCCATGTAGCCAAAACTAATATAAACAATATTTATAATAATAATACATTTATGTAAGATGTAGTTTATAAATAGTTAGTCATTATTATTGATACTGCTACTTAATAAAAAATAACCACACTGGGTTGTATTTTTATTACAAATTATATATTAGAAAATAGAGTCTTTTCATTTGGTGATATTTAACCCTATTTAATAATACAATAAATAATATAATTTTTCTTTAGTTTCAGTAAACCATTAACCAAATGTAGATACAGCGAATGTTCTTTTTCAGGACAAGAACACGTAGTAACCCCATACATAAAATAATAAATAAAAAATTATCCAAAAATAAATGAGTTGGATAAAAAGATC